TCCAGTAGGTGTCTTGACTGTCCCTCGTCACTACTCCACCGAGGTTAGTCTTGATACTTACTGGGTACCGTTGTGGTGTACTCATGCTATGTTTTTGTACATTTTTGTGCAGATCCAGGTACTTTAAAGTTGGTTGTTCACTAGCTAGCTTTTCGGGTTTACTGTGGAGACTCAAGGTAAACTCGCCGTCGCGTTTGGAGGCCTCGGAGTCACCTTCTGATATTGTACTTGTCTTGTCTATTTCTTTTCAGGAACAATTGTACTTAGAAGACTATTCTAGTAAATTCAATAGAGCTTATGACTTGTACTACCGATTTTGGGATTGTTGGCTTTGTAAAAAAAATCTCTGTTTCGTATTTAGTAGTTATTGGTTGAGTTGCCATTAATTCAGTAAGTGTTAGGCTTAGCCATCACGACAACGTACAGAGGAAAATTAGGGTTGTGATAATAAACAATCTAGAGAATATAAAAAACTACTACAACTACTGTCAGAAAGTGATAGACAAAAATAGTAAATAAGATAGAGGGAGACTCTGGTGCTGCAGATCATAGCAAGGCAAGCGGCTCACGTGACCACATGTAGTACCTGTCTCAGTACCTGCACATCAATGCAGAAGTGTAGCGTGAGTACGAAAAACAACACGTACCCAGTATGTATCTAGTCTAACCTCGAAGAAGTAGTGACGAGGGGTCGACCTGATACTTACTAGAGGTCAAATAATAATATAACTACATAATGTAGACATGGTGAGTGTACAACAAGTAACAACAAAGAAAATAAGAGTAACTACAATAAATCCACTCATGAGTCTATATCAAATCACTAACATCTCACAACCGGCCGTGAAGGTGCTAACTCAATTATAACTAAACCAAAACTAGTTTTGGATTATTAAGCAGGAAGCTGCCAAGGCGAACGACCCGATCCTATAGGAATAGTGGTACTCAGTACTACCGAGTCGAACGACCCGATTCCATAAGAGTAGTGTTACCATCATGCCGAGGCAAATGGCCCGATCCCACAAGAATAATGTTACCATCATGCTGAGGTGAACGACCCGATCCCATAAATGTAGCATTACCATCATGACGAGACGAATGGCCCGATCCCGTAAGAATACTGAAATTTACATTGCTCGCGGAAGCACTTGCGAGACGAGAAGGCACAGATTTATAGCTTATCAAGTAGTTCAAAATTTTTCTAAAATAAGAAACTAAGTCGATATCTCCAATTTAAATCCTCAGTCTCAGCCCTAATCAAGACAATTAACACACATGATAGGCATAAACAGTACAATTAAAGGCATGATGTAAATATAAGTCTACCTGGACCTATCATGAAATATAGCTATGTACGGACTCTCATCACCTCGTGCATACGTAGACCCCAACAACAAGTAGCACACAACAATAATACACCTAAGGGGATAAATTCCCTCTTGCAAGGTTAGGCAAGAGCCTTACCTCAGTTCTAAGTCCTCAATCCAACTGTCCAACTGCACTAGAACTCCTCAAACGACGCCGAGGACTCCGAAACTAGTCAAAAGTCATATAAAATAATAAATATATGCTCAAAAGTTCATAAATTAGCTATTATAATAGTTACCCAACCCAATTTGGAAGATTCCTGAAATTCACCCCCGGGCCCACGTGCCCGGATTCCGGAAAGTTTTGAATATAATTGTTACCCATGACCTCCCGAACTCAAATATATAATTTATTCCAATTTCCACTACCAAATCCATGATCAAATCCCAATTTTACTTAAACCCTAGGTTCTTGACATAATCCCATAAGTTTCACTAATTCTCCATGTTTAATCTACCTATAAATCGCGTATTCAACTTGAGAGTCGGTGGAGTTTACTTACCTTGTATAGTATATGCGAATACCCCTCAAAAATGCTCTCAAAATCGCCCAAGACCTAGTGAAAGTGTGTGGAAAATGGCCTAAGTCTCGGATTAAATGCACTCACTGCCCAGCGATTTCCGCACCTGCGGTCACTTAACCGCATCTACGGAACCGTAGGTGCAGTAAAAGGGCCGTATCTGCGATGCCCCACAACCTCCAGCTTCCTCGCTTCTGCAGATGGGGAAGCGCTTATTCTTGTCCACTTCTGCGGACACCTTCTGCTTTTGCGGACTTTCCTTTGCTCATGCGATCCCCAGCCAGCCGGCCCATTTCCACACCTGCGAAGACTCGATCGCATCTGCAGACGCGCAGATGCGGAAAATGCCTCGCACCTGTGACCACCCAGATCCAGCCCCAAGTCCGCTTCTGCGACCACTGGGCCATTATTGTGAGCTCACACCTGCAGCCATTTCCACGCACTGAAGCCACTAGCAGCCCCTCATGTCCAAAACTAAGTCTGATTCCAATCCGATTTTGCACCCGAGGCCCCCAGGGACCCTATCCAATTACACTAATGCATCCAACAACATATTACGAGCTCGCTCACGCGATCGAAACACCAAAATAACATCTAGATTCACGAATCGGACGCTAAAACGCATGAGTTAAACATGAAACTTAAAAACTTTTAAAAACACTTCCGCACGTCTGATTATAAAATCAACTCTAAATGATGCCAAATATTTTGCATACAAGTCATAAATCACCACACGAAACTATTCCTAGGCTTGGAATCCCAAAAGGACCTCAATAACATCAAAGTCTCCTCCAAACCAAATTTAATGAACTAAAAAACCTTCAATGAACCAACTTCACACGTTGAGCGCTGAAACGCTCCCAGGTTACCCGAAACCCGATCCGAATTCACGCCCAAGTTCCAAATCACAAACGAACCTATTAAAACCTTCAAATCCCGGTTCCGATGTCGTTTACTCAAAATATTGACTTAAGTCAATCTTGGCCACCTTAGGCCACTATTAAGGAACTAAGTATTTCAATTTCAACCCAAACCCTTCCAAACCTAAACCAACTATCCACGCAAGTCATAAAAATATAAAATCATATATGGGGAGTCTTAATTAGGGGAATGGGGATCTAGAAATAAAAACGACCGGTCGGGTCGTTACATTCTCCACCTCTTAAAAAAACATTCGTCCTCGAATGGGTCTAGAAGCATACCTGGAGTGCTGAACAAGTGCGGATATCTGCTCCTCATGTCCTCCTCGGTCTCCAAAGTCGCTTCCTCCACTGGTTGACCCCTCCACTGAACGTTCACCGCAGCAATCTTCTAGGACCTCAAGTGGCGAACCTGCCTGTCAACAATGGAAACTAGCTCCTTCTCATAACCCAGGCTCTCTTCTAGCTGAATCGTGTTGTAATCTGACATGTGTGACCTGTCGGCATGGTAACTCTAGAGCATAGACACATGGAAGACCGGATGAACTCCCGATAGACTGGGAGGCAAAACATGCTCATAAGCAACCTCCCCAACTCGCCTCAACACCTCAAATGGGCTAATAAACCTTGGGCTCAGCTTGCCCCTCTTCCCGAACCTTATGATGCCCTTCATCCGTGAGACTTTCAAGAGGACCTTCTCGCCCACCATAAATTATAAGCCACATACCTTCTGATTTGCGTAACTCTTCTGTCTGGACTGTGCTGTACGAAGCTGCTCCTAAATTAACTTTACCTTCTCCAAGGCATCCTTCACTAAATCAGTGCCATATAACTTAGCCTCACCAGGCTAAAATCATCCGATGGGAGAATGACATCGCCAACCATATAAAGCCTCAAATGGAGCCATCTCGATGCTGGACTAATAATTGTTGTTGTGAGAAAACTCGGCCAAGGGCAAGAATCCATCCCACTGCCATCTGAAGTCGATGACACATGCTTTGAGAATATCCTCTAGAATCTAAATAGTCCACTCCGATTGCCCGTCGGTCTGTGGATGAAAGGCTGTGCTGAGCTCTACTCGGGTACCGAGGTGACTCTGTACTGCTCTCCAGAAATGTGAAGTGAATTGAGGGCCTCTATCTGATCTGATAGAAACAGGCACACCATGCAATCGAACAATCTCCTGAATGTAAATCTGGGCCAACCTCTCTGAAGAGTAAGTAGTCACCACCGGAATAAAGTGTGCCGACTTGGCAAGCCTATCTATAATGACCCAAACGGGATCAAACTTCCTCAACGTCCGCAACAACCCAACAACGAAGTCCATAGTGATGCGCTCCCACTTCCATTCTTGAATAACCATTTGCTGGAGTAGGCCACCTGGCCTCTGGTGCTCATACTTGTCTTTCTGGAAATTTAGACATCTCACCACATACTCAACTATGTCCTTCTTCATCCGCCGCCACCAATAATGCTGCCTCAGATCACGATACATCTTGATAGCACCTGGATGAATAGAACACCTAGAAATGTGCAGCTCCTCTAGAATTTTCTCCGTCAAGCCATCAACATTAGGTACACATAGGCGACCCTGGAGTCGTAGAACGCTATCCACGCCGATAGTAACCTCCTTGGAACCACCATGTAGTACCATCTCTCAGAGAACCAACAAGTGCGGATCATCGTACTAACGAGCCTTGATCCGCTCCAGTAATGAATGAAGACTAAGTCACAACATATGCAAGAATTCAACTGGGCTCTGAGATATCCAACCTCACAAGTATGTTAGCTAAGGACTGAATCTCCCAAGCCAATGGCCTCTCCTCCGCCGAAACAAATGCCAAACTGCCCACACTCTCGCCCTTCTTGCTCAAGACATCCGCAACCACATTCGCCTTGCCCAGATGGTAAAGGATGGTAATATCATAGTCCTTCAGTAACTCAAGCCACCCGCGCTGCCTCAAATTAAGGTCCCTCTGCTTAAACAAATGCTGTAAGCTATGATGATCGGTGTAAACCTCACAGTATACCCCATAGAGATAATGTCTCCAGATTTTGAGAGCATGAACTATCACGGCCAACTCCAAATCATGCACGGGGTAATTCTTCTCGTGGGGATTTAGCTAACATGAAGCATATACAATAACTCACCCTTCTGCATCAATACACAACCCAAGACAATGTGTAAAGCATCACAATACACAACCCAAGCGAACGCGTAAAGCGTCGCAATACACGGTATACATCCCTGAATTGGAGGGCAACAGTAACACTGGTAATGTAGTCAAAGCGGTCTTGAGCTTCTGAAAGCTCGCATCGCAATCATCGTTCCATCTGAACAGAGCACCCTTCTGGGTCAGTCTAGTCAAGGGCACCGCAATAGACAAGAAGTCCTCCACAAACCGACGATAATAACCTGCTAACCCCATGAAACACCTGATCTCGATCGATGTGGTGGGACAAGACCAACCTTGGACTGCCTCAATCTTCATGGGATCCACCTTAATACGCTCACCTGATATAACATGCCCCAAGAAAGCCACATAAACCAACCAAAACTCACACTTAGAGAACTTAGCATGAAGCTTCTATTCCCGCAAGGTCTGAATCACTAATATCATATGTTGTTCGTGCTCCTTCATACTACGCGAGTAGATCAATATGTCATCAATGAAGACAGTGACAAATGAATCAAGATACGGCCTAAATACCTGATTCATCAAATCCATAAACGTCGTCAGGGCGTTAGTCAAGCCGAATGACATCACTAAAAACTCAATGGCCATATCTAATCTGAAAAGCCGTCTTTTGAATATCCGAAGCACGAATCTTCAGCTGATGATACCCAAACCTCAAGTCGATCTTAGAGAACACCCTGGCACCCTGCAACTGGTCAAGAAAATCATCAATGCGCAGTAACGAGTACTTATTCTTGATGGTGACTTTGTTCAACTGGCGGTAATCAATGCACATCTGCATACTCGCATCCTTCTTTTTCACAAATAACATCGGTGCGCCCCAAGGCGACATACTGGGTCTAATGAATCCATTCTCAAGCAACTCCTGAAGTTGATCCTTTAACTCTCTAAGCTCCTTGGGAGCCATACGATAAGGCAAGGTAGCTATAGGCTGGGTGCCTGGCACCAAATCAATGCAGAAATTGATATCCCGATCCAGCGGCATACCAGGTAGATCACCAGGAAATACATCGAAAAACTCTCATACCACTGACACTGAATCTAACACGAGAGTCTTTGCAGTAGTATCCCAAACAAAGGCTAAGTAGGCCAATGAACCCTTTTCGACCATATGTCGAGCCTTCAATAAAGAAATAACCCTGCTTAAAGTACCGACAGACGAACCCCTCCACTCTAATCTGGGTAACTCAGGCATTGCCAAGGTCACAGCCTTGGCATAGCAATCAAGAATGGCGTGGTACGGGGACAACCAATCCATGCCCAAGATAACCTCGAAATCAACCATACCGACCAATAAAAGATCCGATCGAGTCTCATATCCGCAGAAAGTCACCACACAGGACCGGTAGACCCGATCCACAACAACTAAATCATCCACTAGCATGGACACATATATAGGAACGCTCAAGGACTCGCGGGACACATCTAGATAAAGAGTAAATAGAGAAGAAACATAGGAGTAAGTAGGCCCTGGATCAAATAATACCGAGGCATCCCTACGGCAAATAGAAATAGTACATGTGATCACTACATCAGAGGCGATTGCCTCTGGCCTGGCAGGGATAGCATAGAATCTAGACAAAGTGCCACCTGACCGGCCTCCACTTTTGGGATGACCCCTACCACCTGCCCTCTGCCTCTAGCCAGGCGGGAAGGCTCTACGGTAGCTGGTGCAGTAATCATGGGCTGATAGTCTTGCTTCTCAGCCTTGCCCTGAAGTCTAGGACAAAATCGCTCCACGTGGCCAAGATCCCCGCACTCGAAATAACCCCTCAGAGCAGTGGACGACTGACCTGAAGTCTGACTCTGATGGCCTGAATACCCACTGGAGGAACCCTGAATAGCTGGCGGTCGGTAAGTACTCTCTGGAATGGCACTAAAGTAGGGTCAGGATGGAGCACTCTGAGCAGGCAGTGGTGCTGACTGCATGGGCCTACTGGTCTGACCCCTCATAAACTAACCTTTGCCCCCAGGTGGGGCGCCACTGAATCCTCCAAACTTCCTGGGCTGCTTGTCTGTTGGCACAAACTCTCCACTGTGGTTGCAAATACGCTCGATCCTCCGAGCTATATCCACAACCTGATGAAAGGGATTCCCCATCTCTACCTTATGTGCCATAGAAACCTGAATCTCAGGGTGCAGACCTGCAATGAACCTCCGCACCCTATCTGCATCTGTGGGGAGTATAATATTTGTATGGAGAGACAAGTAAGTGAATCTTGCCTCACATTCGGTCACAGACATATAACCCCGACGGAGTCGCTCAAACTAACCCCGAATGTCCTCTCTCAGAAGGTGGTATGTACCTCTCCAAGAATAGATGTGTAAACTGATCCCAAGTCAAGGGAGGTGAACCTGCTGACCTGCTAAGAAGGTAAGCTTGCCACCATCTGCGGGCCTTGCCCTCAAGCTAAAAGGTGATGAAGTCCACCCCGTAGGACTCGAATATCCCCTTGTTCTAGAGCCTATCCTTGCACCGGCCAATGAAATCCTGGGGGTCCTCTAACCGCTCACCCCCAAAGTTAGGGAGCGAAGTATAGTCCATCTGTCCAGCCGCTTCTGTTGATCAACGGTCATGCTTGGTACAGCCTCTGGCACAGCCGCTATAACAGTCTGGGCTTCGCCCGCAAGTAGTGCACCTGGGGTCTGATAAACGGCAGTAGCGTGCCCTAGAGCCTGAGCGGTAGGGGTCTGTGCTCCCCCTCCTACCTGAGATGTGGCAGGGGCTATGCTGGGGCTAGCTCAACTGTAGGTGCCTCATCCTGCTCCTCAATAACAGGATGCTCTACTGGATCCACTGGTGGTACGACGGGAGCAATTCTAGGACGCCCTCGTCCTTTGAGAGGAGCTGAATCCCTCCCCTGGCCTCTACCTCAGCCTCTAGCAATGGGGGGAGCAGCTCCTCTACCCCCTGGTACATTCATTATGCGCATTCTCACCATCAGCGAGAGATCAATAGAAAGATACTTAGCACAATATCAAACTACATGATAGGAGATGAAGAAAAAGAAGTTCCCTAACACCATATAGCCTCTCGAAGATAAGTACGGATGTCTCCGCACCGATCCGCAAGACTCTACTAGGCCTGCTCATGATGCGTGAGACCTATGTGAACCGAAAGCTCTGATACCAAGCTGTCACGACCCAAATCAATAATAGGTCATGATGGAACCTAATATTGCCGTTAGGCAAGCCCCAAGTGAATCTACTATTTATTTATCCCTTCTCAACATTTAAAACAAAAATTTTCCCTTTAAAAGAACAAAATGAGTAAGATCTCATGCAACCGTATATAGTCTTTTCTTAACAAAATACCAGCATAAAAAGTACATCCACTGTAGTGATAGAAATGATAAGTACAACAGTACATAAATGCTAAAAATTCCCAAAACTCGGTGTCATAAGTATATGAGTAATCTAGAGAATATACAAAACTACTACAACTATTGTTGAAAGTGATAGACAGAAATAGTAAATAAGGTAGAGGGAGACTCTGGTGCTGCAGATCATATCAAGGCAAGCATCTCACCACTAAGTCTCAGTTGATGATCGGCTACGCGCCCACGTGACCACTGGTAGTACATGTCTCAGTACCTGCACATCAATGCAGAAGTGTAGTATGAGTACGAAAAACAACACGTACCCAGTAATTATCTAGTCTAATCTCGAAGGAGTAGTGACAAGGGGTCTACTTGACACTTACTAGAGGTCAAATAATAATATAAGTACATAAAGTAGACATAGTGAGTGTACAACAAGTAACAATGAAGCAAATACGAGTAACTACAGTAAATCCACTCATGAGTCTATATCAAATCACTAACATCTCACAACCGGCCGTGAAGGTGCTAACTAAATTATAACTAAACCAAAACCAATTTCGATTATTAAGCACGAAGCTGCCGAGGCGAACGACCCGATCCCATAGGAATAGTGGTACTCATTACTGCCGAGGCGAACAACCTGATTCCATAAGAGTAGTCTTACCATCATGTCGAGGCGAACAACGCGATCCCCACAACAAGTAGCACACAACAATAATACACCTAAGGGGATAAATTCCCTCTTACAAGGCTAGGCAAGAGACTTGCCTTGGTTTCAATTCCTCAATCCGGCTCTCCAATCTTACTAGAACTCCTCAAACGATGTTGAGGACTCCGAAACTAGTCAAAAGTCGTATAAAATAATAAATATATGCTCAAAAGTTAATAATTTAGCTAATATAATAGTTACCCAACCCGATTTGGAAGATTTGTGAAATTCACCCCCTAGCCCACGTGTCCGGTTTTCGGAAATTTTCGATTATAATTGTCACCAATGATCTCCCGAACTCAAATATATAATTTATTTCAGTTTCCACTACCAAATTCATGATCAAATCCCAATTTTACTTAAACCCTAGGCTCTTCACAAAATCCCACAAGTTTCACTAATCTTTCATGTTTAATATACCTATAAACAATGTATTCAACATAAGAGTGGGTGGAGTTTGCTTACCTTGTATTTTAGATGAGAATCCCCCTCAAAATTTCTCTCAAAATCGCTGCATATGCGGAACCGCAGGTGCGGTCAAAGGGTCGCATCTGCGATTGCCCACAACCTCCAGCTTCCTCGCTTCTGCGGCCGGGGAAGCGCTCCTGCGGGTCCGCTTCTGTACATCTACTTCTGCGGACTTTCCTTCGCTCCTGCGATCCCCAGCCAGCCGGCCCATTTTTGCACCTGCGAAGCATCGATCCCATCTGCGGACGCGGAGATGTGGAAAATGCTTTGCACCTGTGACCACCCAACTCCACGCGGGTGCGATTGCACCAGATCTGAAGCCACCAGCAACCTCTCCATGTCCAAAACTAAGTCTGATTCGCACCCGAGGCCCCCGGGACCCCATCCAATTACACTAATGCATCCAACAACATAATACGGACTTGCTCGCGCGATCAAAATACCAAAATAACATCTACAATCACGAATCGGACGCCAAAATACTTGAGTTCAACAAGAAACTCCAAAACTTCTAAAAACACTTTTGCGCGTCCGATTCCTATCAAATCAACCCGGCATGATGCAAAATCTGTTGCGTGCAAGTCATAAATCACCACACGGAACTATTCCCAAGCTCGGAATCCCAAACGGACCTCGATAACATCAAAGTCTACTCCAAACCAAACTAAAAGAATTAGAAAACCTTCAATGAACCAACTTCCCACATTCAGTGCCAAAATGCTCCCGGGTTACCCGATCCGAACACACGCCCAAGTTGAAAATTATCATACGAATTTATTGGAACCTTCAAATCCCGGTTTCGAGGTCGTTTACTCAAAAGGTTGACTTAAGCCAAACTTGGCCACCTTAGGCCACTATTAAGGAACAAAGTGTTCCGATTTCAAAACCTAAAACAACCATCCCTGCAAGTTATAAAATAGTAAAAGAACATACAAGGAGTCTTAATTAAGAGGACGGGAATTTAGTAAGCAAAACGACCGATCGGGTAGTTACAGAAGTTCTATCCTAGGTTAGTCAACTAAAATTGGTTTACCAAGAGATCCACTCAAGTTCTTCGAGGAGACTATTGATCAAGTGAGAATAAGGTATGCATATGCACGTGCGCATAAGGAAGTCTATGTTTCCAGAAATGGACGAAAATAATATGCATTAATTTGAAGTACATTGCATGTATGTAAAAGTTACAAATAAAATAAGTAAAACATGACAAGGTATGAATAATCAAATACACATACACAGAGTAATATCTTGACTAATAACTTAGAAATTAAACTAACTTAGATAGAATAATTTGCATTGGTAGAACCTGCTAGATGAACTGAATCAAGAAGATACTCTTTGACCTATGTCACAAAAAAATGAAAGAGATTAGGATCATTTATGGTTATAAATAAATAAATATATTTACTAATAATTAGTTAAACATAACATGGTTCAACTTCATCAAAGGATTGCACAAGTAGTAATATATATAAAAGTATATCACTTTATTTTTCAAAATAAATAATTAATATTATATATTACACAAAATAAAGTAGTGCATAAGCTAATATTTTAAAAATATCTTAATCGCTTTTTCTATTCTTTGTGTAGATGGAACCTCATAGATGAACGTATAATATAAATTACCTAATCGATGAGGATTAAGGAAGGATTTTTTTAGAGGGGGTTAATGTATTTACTAAGCATGCAATATCATTTTCTCCATTTCAAATTTAGATGGTGATTAAATATCCATGTGTGAAGTCCAAGTGTTAA